CTTTCTCTTCTGGTTAACAAGATGGGTATTCCAAAAGATTCTAAAACCAATAATTGATGAATGTACTGACGTTAAATAACCTAAGTTTATAAATGTACATGAAAGGGTATACAGGGGGAAAAAAAAGAGTTATAATACCATATAAAAAAATTCTTTATATTATATAAAATAATTTCTTTATATTCTATAAAAATTTATATTTCCCCTTTTTTTTTGGTGAACTATATTTCCCTTAATAGCTGACGAATTCGAATCTTAATAATGAAAAAAAAGAAATGGTGTTATAACAATCACTCTCAATATAGGTTTGATTGGATTAAATCAGTTTAGATAATATATATATATATATATATATATATATATATATATATATATATATATATATATATATATATTACTCTAATCCTATTTCATGACAGGAATCATTAAAATATAATTTGTTGTTTTTATTGAATTTACCGTTAATTGTTAAAATCATTCAGGTTAACAGCTATCTTATACAAATTTACTTATTATTTTCAATAACTCTAAATACTTGTCATATAATTTATCTTTAGAATTAAACGTCAACTAGTTTCCTTACTAATCTTGTCCAGACATGTATATCCTAGCGGCCTAGCCTATTTATTTATGCCTCCTCCAGTACTACACGAAATTCCTCGGTGTTTTTTGTAGCATAAAGTTCCTCAGTATTACAATTAGAACGTTAGGGCCTATTCGGTGGTCAGATAAAAAGGAAAGAAATATGTAAGTTATCATATTATTCTCTTATTCATTATTTGGTAAACTAACAACATGTAATAGCTTATTATGTTGACTCATTTTATCTTATCCACAGTGTTCCGGATAACTCAATAAGACTCTGGCCCAAAGGTCAGGGTTCAACCTTCACCTAGCATCCACGTCAGCCCTACCAGCTGAGATGATACCCAGCTCCCAACATGGTGACTCCCCCAGGGAGAAACACCGAAATGTCCTATCTTGGGACCATAACCTCCAAAGGCAGTCGCCTCAAATGCCGTAAGGGAAAATTGCCTCCTTTGCCCCACGCTGACACCACCAGGTATAGAGGACGCAGCGCTGCTACAATAGCAGCGCCTGCCACGCCCAACGCTGCCACCAGGAGTGAATCCCAAGGAGGGTTAACCCCCTCCTCACCAACCTGTGTTGGGTGCAGACCACCCTCCTTTATAAATAGCCTCTTGGACACATCTTGAAGACATCTTATGTATCGTTACTCTGCCCATTTACCTCGAGTCATATTATCAGTTACTTATCCATTGTTGATTGCCTGCTTATACTTGACACAGTACTTCTTAGCCTGGTATGTACCTGTGCTAAGGATATTATCCATACAGTGACTCATCTCTGAAGGGAACATAGTGGGCTTATAGATCCCAACGGTACACACAGCAAGATATATTATCCTAAAATGGGATTCAGGTTAGGAATGTATAAGAGGATAACAAATACACATCTCTCTCTCATCCCAAATGTACTCTCATGCTCTTTTCCTATAAACTTTGCTTGACGTATTAAGATTAGTTTTTGCCATCGACCAGCCACCACCGTCGTCACTATTGCCGACTATCAAATACCTCTATCACTCCTACCACCACCATCACATCACTATATCGACCTTCACCATGAGCAATTAGCCACCACCTTTGTCATCCACCACACCACTATTGCCACCACCCGATACCAACCATCACCGCCATCACCGCCACCACCACAATTTTCATTGGTCATCACTGCACTTCCACCAGCCACCATCGCACCAACCACCACCGTCATTGTTGTTGTCACCATTGGCAACCGCTACTACCCCCAAACACCAACCATCACCGCCACCATTAGTCACATTCACCGTCAATCAACTGCCACAATGTCACTAGTTATTGTTGGTGCCGTCATCATCACCTATTGCCATCTGCCCCCAGAATCACCATCACTATTACTTCAACCGGCCACCCTTACTTGCCACCCACCGCACTGGCTAGTGTCGTTAACCATCGACTAATATTAACAATTAATTTAAAATTTATTTTTTTAAAGAAATTCGTGAGGATTTTTTATAAATTTTGAAAAAAATTGTAAGTTTTTTTTATATATATCAATATATTTTATTTAAAACTATGATTTTTAAATTTTTTTAATAATTTAAAATGAGAATTAATATGTAAATAAGTAAAAGAAAAACTATTTTAAAAAATCATCTGAAATTCAATTAAAAAAATATATTTGTATATTTATATTATATCATGATTCATCTCAAATACTGAATATAATCTGCATCAAACCTATGAGCTTATTAGACACATATATTTTCCCACTCCTATCCGATCCTATGATTTTATCCAATCTCCAACGGATGGGCTCTTAGAAATCTTAAACAATAAGTGGAAGATGGTACAGTGAAAAAAAAAAAAAAAACACATATCTTTGACTTTGAAGTTTGAATGTAACCATGTAATGCTCTAGAAGACCAAGAGATAATCATTATGTCAGTTTCCTCACTCTGGCCTACCCCAATATTTTGTTGCGAGAGTTTGACTTGACACTTTAACGGTGAGAGAACTTTGTGTGTTTTCTGCTTGCAGAGAAAATGAGATCAGGCAAATGCAAGTGCAACTTCTTAGTTGCTTCTCCGTGTCGTTTGAAAGTTTGAACACAAGAAGAAGGCTTTGAATCCCAACCACTCCTCGTCTCCGTCAACTAACGCCTCCAAAACCACATCAATATCCACATGCGCCCCTTGATTCATCTCCCCCATTATTTGACTTTTTTATCCCCACCACTCTTTATTTATTTACTCTCGGACCGTTTGGTACACAGATTTTTTTCGGATTTTCGAAAAATTAAAATTTTTAAAATTTTAAATTTTTAAATATTATCGTAAACTGGATGTAAAAATTTTATTTTTGAAAATTGAGATTACCCGACAAATAAAAATTTCTCCTGTACCAAACGCGCAATTCATTTCAACTTTCACACTTTCCTACCCACGCAATTCCTTCCCTACCTCTCTCTGTCTATATATACACATATAAACACACTCCAATTTCTAAGTACAACCTTATCCTTCAAGATAATTTTTGTGAAAAATAAAAACAAAAGAAAACAGAAACACCCATGTATGTTATATATAAATATAATCATTGTGTTATAACTGCCAATCTCCCCATCCAAGACCATAGAATTTTTTCATTTTATTGTTCATAGACACAAACATATATAGGGGTATATATATATATATATTACATATATATAAAACTATATCAAGTTTGGTAGCAATAACTAGCTGGTAGCAATGGAGATTCAAGAAAATCAACAAGAGTCATGGTCGGAGACAGAGAGCACGGAAAGTCGAAGCTCGCGAGTGGGCTTCAGCGGGCCTCTGAGTGGACCCTTAGTTTCCACAAAAAGGAACAGCAGCAAGAACAGAAGCGCAAGGTTGAAGGACAACAACGAAGACGACATGGTGGAGATAACGTTGGACGTTCGCGACGACTCTGTGTCCGTCCAAAACATCCGCGGCGGCGACTCCGAGACAGCTTTCCTGGCCAGCCGCCTTGAGATGAGGCCGTCGTCGCTGTCGGCTCGGCTGAGACAGGTGTCGCAGGAACTGAAGCGCATGACATCTTTCAAGGCTTTCGACAAGTTAGATAGAAGCAAGTCCGGTGCTTCTCGTGCCTTAAAAGGTCTCAAGTTTATGACCAAAAACGTTGGAACTGAAGGTTGGTCCCATGTTGAGAAGCGCTTTGATGAATTTGCCGTTGATGGAAAACTGCCCAAGACTCGCTTTGGCCAGTGCATAGGTATGTTATTGTTGTTGTTCATTAATTCATAGTTACTACGAAACTGTGGTTGTTCATGTCAGTTCGATCTTCACATGTTATTTTTGTGTGAGGTTGATCTCTAATTCGCCTTACATTTCGGATCAGTCGAATAACCGATTCAAAAAACTGAAGTTTATGGATATATGAGGAGCTAACTCTTCTCAAAGAATTAGTTAGAATTGAGTTAATACAAAAATAAATAAATTATAAAATTCATCATTACTTTGCATTGTTCTTGTTTGAATTTGTTGGCAAATGTTTCTTTAGTGGGTTTGGCCAGCATTTCATAATAAGAAATGATGTTTCTGAATTTTGGATGGAAATGATAATTAGGAATGAACGAGTCGAAGGAATTTGCCGGTGAGTTATTTGATGCATTAACTCGTCGTCGAGGCATAACATCCGCTTCCGTAACCAAGGATGAGTTGCGTGAATTTTGGGACCAAATTACAGATCAGAGCTTCGATTCAAGGCTTCAGATCTTTTTTGACATGTAAGTCTTCATTATTATTGATTTCATGTTCACTTGGAATATTAATGTTTTGTCATGTACCCAGAAAAATTAGGATATGGTAGAAGAAATATAACTTATTTTAAAGCATGAAAGAGACGGGGTTTAATTGGCTTCTACATATGGCCCTACAAAAACAAAGGCTTCAACATAAAATATTTTAATATTTGAACTAACGTCAAAATAGGGTGCTCAGTTTTCTTATGATGCTATAAGATCGTTACACATTGTGTGGACTTGGAGTATAAATTTTTTCGCCATAAACCAAATGATGATGTTCAGTGAGAGTTGAGATGTTCGGTGAGAGTTGAGTAGATGGGGTGAGAATATGTGTTTGATCATTTTTAATAATATTTTTCAAAAAAATTTAAAGTCTTAATTTTGAACCCAACTTAAATAGGATTGACTCCGTGGTTTATCCATTTTTTTCTCTCCATAAGACTTAGAAACAGCTATATTGCATTTGGCGGAATGGACACGTGAAACCATGCATAGTACTGTACATGTTAATTATTTGATTAAAAATTGTTGTCTTACTTACAAGTAGCGACGAAAAGGTACCAGGACATAGAAACGAGAGAATCATATAGGAAATAAGAGTGGATTGCAATATACGAATGTTGATGTATACGATGGATTTATTTTAAAGCAGATTTAGATGGACATAAATAAAAAAATTGATTTTGTATTTGAATATAATTAAGTTGTCTTAAGTATCTTTCCAGAAAATTTAAAAAAATACTATTTGTATGTTTCCAAAAAAAATATTTGAAGTGACATTATTTTATTTGTTCAGTTAGCTTTGATGAATAGTTTTATATACACTTATTCTCTATAGAGTTAGTGTTCATAATTTTTTTTTTTTGCTTATTCTTTATGGTTCGAAGTATTTGATTCACTATTAAACGTACCCTTGAACAAATCTTATTATATGAGTGAATAGTAATAAATGAGCAACTAAAAATGAGAAACAGTAATATATGCATGGATTGACTAATCAATGGTTAGGTTGGTTGACTATATATATATATATATATATATATATATACATGGAATTAGCAGCCATGAACATCAAGCATGTTTATCTTAGTCAATTTTGGGCCAATTAAGCGTAAACGATATTGCATCTCGATTAGGTCTACAAGCACTTTTTGGTTACTTATTCCCTAACCTCTTAACCAAACTCATGCCAGGGTGGACAAGAATGCTGATGGACGAATTACCGAAGAAGAAGTAAAAGAGGTAAGAGTTTATTATCAGATAAAAAGAAAAGGAAAGTCCCAAACTAAAACTTTGTTATATTATTATTTTATGGAGAAAATGTGTGTCATTTTAAATGACACAAGTTGTATAATTTCATAGACACAAAAAATTATAAGTCCTACTGAAAAAATAAAATAAAGGTGTGAGTCCTATTTTGTTGTGTATATGAAATAATACAACTTGTATCATTTTAAAATGACACACAATTTTGACTTATTTTATATAGGAGGATATCCGAATCTTGATTATTGAACTTAGAAGAGGGGAAGCACACACTTTTTACTAAGCGAGTGATCATTAGGCCAAAGGCCCATAGTGCCTTCAAATTAAAATTCTAATTTCTAATAAGTTAGATTTCTTATCTTACTAGAGAATGTGGTGGTGTGAATATTGTTGCATTGTATGATTCATTTTGCAGATTATCACATTAAGCGCTTCAGCTAATAAGCTGTCAAAAATACAAGAGCGTGCAGAGGAATATGCTGCCCTAATCATGGAGGAGCTGGACCCGGCCAACCTTGGATACATTGAGGTTTATATTCTGTACATTGATAAAATCCAAACAAATTAAGTTGATCAGTTAGAAAATGGAGGTCATAAGTGGTTTGATGGTGGGGTTTATATTTTTATATTCCTTTGCTTGGTAGGTGCGGTGCATTCTTGGCCATTGACATTGGGTGCTTTTTCTTTGGATAACATATTTTCCATATCCAATCAGGGTCTGATCTTTTCGGCCAGCCATTGTACCATCTCTAACAGGCTAAAACAATTAGCCCTTTAGCAATAATAAAAAACAAGAAACTAAGAACTAGCCGTCAACGTCAATGAGAAAAGGGCCCAAAGCCTCATTAAAACTTGTTTAGTCTTAGAAAACAGTCTGAAATTGTTATTTTTAATATTTTAAGATGTACGAATGAATTATTACTAAAACTTGAACCTATAATTCTTCTCTAATTTAATTTTTGTTCACACGACGAAATATTTTATATGGTCCAGGATCATTATATTTTTTTATGCTCTCTCTCTTACAACATTAATTTTTTCTTTTCTTTTTTATCTCTGTTATTTTTTTCTTTTTCAATTTTACTCTCCTATTTACACTAAGGGACCATCTAAAAAATGGTGTTGCTGGTTCAAAATAAATAATCTCTCATGATAATATATATGAGAAGAATTAAATAAATTGAAAATAACCAATAACTTTATCATCTAACTTAATAAGGTTCTTGTTTTGTTCTTCAACGTAAATTTATGAAATGAAATAAATAAATGAAGTTTATGTCTTTTTATTGAAAGCCCAATTATTACATGAATTGTGAAATGATCCTCAACGTAAATTTATGGCCTCTCATGCAGCTGTACAACTTGGAAATGCTTCTTCTGCAAGCCCCAGCACAATCAACCCACATAACCACGGATAGTAGGGTTCTGAGCCAAATGCTGAGCCAGAAGCTAGTCCCTACCAAAGAGCACAACCCCATCAAGAGGGGCTTTCGAGCACTGGCATACTTCGTGGAGGACAATTGGAAACGTATTTGGGTCATAGCCCTTTGGCTTTCAATTTGCGCAGCACTTTTCACTTGGAAGTTCATCCAATACAAGCGCCGTGCCGTGTTCCATATCATGGGCTATTGTGTCACAACAGCTAAGGGCGGCGCTGAGACCCTCAAGTTCAACATGGCCTTAATCTTGTTACCTGTCTGCAGAAACACCATCACTTGGCTCAGAAGCAGGACCAAGCTAGGATTGGCTGTTCCCTTTGATGACAACATCAACTTTCACAAGGTACTTATGGGATTAATGTTGATGTCTTAGCTCATAAAATTACTTAGTGAAAAGAAGAGTGATAAAAAATATGGGCTCCACACACTTTATATATGTGTAAGAGATAAAATTATTTCATAATAAATATTAATCCCTTAAATTATAAGGGTTTTAAGGGCAGGATATACTTACCACTAATTAAGTTTATCACTTCTTATCAACAAATCTTGACTGTTGATTTTCGTCAATTTGACTGTTATAATTTATTGAGAATTAATAATTAATTAATAAATGTCATCCAATAAATTATAAATGTCAGATTGACGAAAATTAACGGATTAAGATTCGATGGTAAGAAATAATAAACGTAATTGGTGGTAAGTAGATCCCTTCCCTAATTTATATACTATTATATTTGTTCAAATTTATTTATTTTTGATTAATTTGCTTTACTAATAAAAAAAAAAACATGTTGGGTGTTTATTTAGGTGATAGCTTTCGGCATTGCGATTGGGGTTGGGTTGCATGCGATTTCACATTTGACATGTGACTTCCCAAGGTTATTACACGCTACGGATGCAGAATATGAGCCCATGAAACCATTTTTTGGGGATAAGAGGCCCAACAATTATTGGTGGTTCGTGAAAGGGACCGAGGGTTGGACCGGGGTGGTCATGGTGGTGCTTATGGCTATAGCATTCACTTTGGCACAACCTTGGTTCCGTCGGAACAGGCTAAAACTCCCCAAACTCCTCAAGAAGCTCACCGGTTTCAACGCGTTTTGGTACTCACACCACCTTTTCGTCATCGTCTATGTACTTTTTATCATTCACGGATACTTCCTTTACCTCAGCAAAGAATGGTACAAGAAATCGGTTAGCACTCTCACTCGTTTGGAAATTTTCTTCATCATGTTGTTATATATATAGATAGCTGAATTCGGTTATACAAAATTTAATGGCATAGACGTGGATGTATCTCGCTGTTCCCATGATACTATACGCATGTGAAAGGCTACTTCGTGCTTTTAGGGCTGGCAACAAATCCGTGAGGATTCTCAAGGTACATTTTCAAGAATCTCACTCCCTCTCTCTGTTTTAACGTAACTAACGGAGTTACGGATCAATTTTTAACGTTATTCTTCGGAAAAATCCAGGTTGCAGTGTACCCAGGAAATGTACTTGCATTGCATATGTCTAAACCACAAGGATTTAAGTACGCTAGTGGCCAGTATATTTACGTTAACTGTTCAGATGTCTCCCCTTTTGAATGGTACGTATGCACCTAATTTAAGTTAAAAAAAATTCCTGTTCTTATTGCTCTTATTATGCTATTCATACGAAGAGTTAATTTAATTGTGTTGTACTTGTATATATCTATAGGCATCCCTTTTCTATTACATCAGCTCCGGGAGATGACTATTTAAGCGTTCACATTCGAACTTTGGGTGATTGGACATCACAGCTGAAGGCTGTTTTCGCCAAGGTGAATTTTTGCACTATAGAACAATTGTGTACTTTTTATTTGAAGAATCCGTTTATGTTATAAGCTGCAAATTTTCTCAAATGTTGTTCATGTTGACATAAAAGCTTATTACTCCATAAACATGATTGATGTAGGCATGTCAACCAGCAAATGATGACCAAAGTGGTCTTTTACGAGCTGATATGTTACAAGGCAACTACAAACCAAGGTATGCTAATATGTCTTTATTGTAGTTTTAACTAAGTGTATAATTAAAAAGAGCTAAGAGATACAGAACAATAGCCCAAGATACTAATATTGAGTTTGCAAAAAAAGTTTATTTCTGATCCTAGTGAAGCTCAAATTAATAATTTGCAGGATGCCAAGGCTCTTGGTTGATGGACCTTATGGAGCTCCGGCACAGGACTACAAAAACTATGATGTCCTCCTTCTCGTGGGGCTAGGAATTGGCGCCACCCCATTGATTAGCATACTCAAAGACGTGCTAAACAACATTAAGCAACAAGAAGACTCAGAAGAAGGACTGGTGGAAAACGGAGTTAAGAACAACAAGAGAAAACCTTTTGCCACCAAGCGAGCCTATTTCTACTGGGTTACTCGTGAACAAGGTTCCTTTGAATGGTTTAAAGGGGTGATGAATGAGGTAGCAGAGAATGACAAGGAAGGAGTAATTGAGCTTCACAACTATTGCACAAGTGTGTATGAAGAAGGAGATGCTCGCTCGGCTTTGATCACAATGCTTCAGTCCATCCACCATGCCAAAAATGGTGTGGACATAGTTTCAGGGACAAGGGTCAAGTCACATTTTGCTAGACCCAATTGGCGTAATGTCTTCAAACATACAGCTCTCAAACACCCTGACAAAAGAGTTGGTAAGAATTGAATTAGCTCTTAATTTTATTGCTGAAGTTTACACTTATACATATTGCTTAGCTAATTTTCAATGTACTGTATTAATTTCAGGTGTTTTTTACTGTGGTGCGCCCGGATTGGTTGGGGAACTAAGAAAGCTTTCTCTGGACTTTTCCAGGAAAACCAGCACCAAGTTTGATTTTCACAAAGAAAACTTCTAGATTCTTTTCTTATAGTTCCTTTTTTTTTTTTTTTTTTAAACTGTAACGTCTATAGTTATCTATAGTTGGATCATTTTTTGTTGTAGGGGTATATATATATATAGCTAGCTGCATTTGATATATGGAATTGTATAAATGTATCAAAAAATTGTGTTCCACTTTCAAGTAATATAAATTCGTGATGTTGTATGCTATCACACAATCAAATCAAATGATTATTGTAATATATAACATTAAACTTCTTAGTTTCTGTTATCACCAAGCATATATATATATATATATATATATATATATATATATGGTAAAATTATTTCTGCAGCCGTTTTACGCACAGCAACGACAGGTGTATGGTTATGATTCTCCGCATTTAATGCTTTCATCCTTTGTATGGTTATGATTCTCGCATTTAATGCTTTCAAGTATATATATGGCAAGTATTTGATTGCTGCACGTACAGCAGCCGCAGAAATGTAAACCCCATATATAACTAGGGCGATTATATATGTACCATGATTTCAAAACACGGGGAGTATTGATATCATTAGGAATAACATAAAATTAGCATGATTTTTTTAATGCAATTCTCGTATCTCCTCATGTTTCGGTTATGTTACTAAATGTTACACTTTTACAGTTATACATTCACATCAGTAGAAGTTTTTTTTTTTAAACCAATGGAAATAAGTTACAAAACAGGGCAAACCCTCGGGCTAGAAATGCCCCTCATGTCCCTACCTAACAAAGCAACACAAGCCTTAAGAGGATCCACAAATACATGCATGTCAAAATAAATAAAAAAGTATTGCCCAAGTTTGCTAGTCTATTAGCAACCTTGTTGCCCTCTCTACGAGCATGGCTAAGTCCAACAGTCCATGGGCTCCTTAACAACTCTCCAATCTAGTTGACTAGAGGAGCAATGGGATGAGATGTCTCGCACACTTTGGAGATTAGGTGTAAAGCCACTTGGGAATCACCTGCAGTCCACAATTTGCGAATGCCCATATCCCAATTAACCTCCAACCAATGCAAAAAACCCCAGAGTTCTAATCTTGAGGATGACCCAACACCAAGATTCTTGTAAAAACTATTCAACCAACTACCTGAAGCATCCTTGAATACTCCACCACAACTGGTTTTCATTCCACTCTCAAGGTAAGACCCATCAATATTAACCTTACACCACCCTTCCTCAGGGAACCCCCGACATATGAGGTGCTCCTCCTTAAGACGAGCTTACAACCCTTGCGGGCATAACTCTCTACGACCCTCATCCAGATGAGAGATAAACACCTTCACTTTCCTAAGATAGAGTCTTTTGATGCTGTTTTGTTATCAAAAACTAAGTTGTTCCAGTGCTTCCACATAAGCCAACAAAGCACGCCAAATAATCCCCCCCCCCAAACATTGTTATGCACACTCTTGGTACACTCAATATTCCGCAGAAGCCACACCTGACTTGGTAATGTAAAGAAGCCAGGCCATCTCCAATATAGGCCAAAGAAACTCTATAGAACCTTTCTCCAAATACAATCTCGATATACATGAATGGTGCTTTCAACCCCTTCATTGCACCTAGGCAGACATTGTCCACTGCCAAATGTCTGTGACATCTTCTTTCATTGGTTAGAAGATTGTTGCCTATGGCCAACCAATTAAAGGTTTGGATCCGCTTTGGTCTTTCCAACAACAAGATCTCTCCAAAGGATCATTTCCAGTGTCATCTGTCCTGCCCGTTAACATGTCACAAGTGGACTTGACAGAGAATAGACAACCATCATAAAGACCTTAGACCACAAAGTCATCCCCTTTATCATGTTGAAGAGGCATGACATAAGCAATACTATTGATTGTCGCAGGGATCACAAACTGAGACAACAGACTCCAATTATAGTTCCCCTGAGTATTAACAAAATTATCCTTAGTCCAATCACGCACCTCCATAAGCACATGCACATCATCCTTTATAGTGACCTTCACATTCGTGGGAAGCTAGTTGTCCTTTCAAAAGTTTGTTCGAGATCCATTGCCAATCTGAATCCTTGAACCTTCAACCACTTTGGGCCAAACACGCATGACACCCATCTAAAGATTCGACGATTGGCAGCTAGATTTAATCATAGGAATGAGTCCACCCCCCACTCCATATTTTCTCCTGAGAACGCGCGACCAAAGACTGTTTTTTTCATAAGGAGGCCATGACCAACCTACGTAAGAAATACTTGATTATTCTCCTTCATTCTCCTAAGGCAAATATTTCCATACTTCTTGGGCTAACAAACTTTTTCCCGCGCCACTGCATGTATATTCCTTTTCTCAATGGTAGAACCCCACAAATGTTCTAGATCTTTTCTCGATGCTATAACAAGTAGCCATAGGGAGATGGCAAGTCTGCAGTGAGTAACGCAGTATAGAGGAGAGGACAAGGGTAGACTTGCTCGCCAACGACAAAGAAGACCTACACCAATTACTAAGACGCATATCCATCATCTCAAGAATGTAGCTGGAAGACGAAGGCCTAACCTTATCACTCAGAAGAGGTATACTAAGATAATGTCATAGATCAGCAGCAAACGAGAATCCCATTTCATGAGTGATCTCTTCCTCTATGGTGTGGATGACATTTCTAGTGAAAAATGCCCTTGTTTTATCCGTGCTAACTTTTTGGCCAGAACAGTCACCAAAGTATTTTAGAATATCACTAATCAACCTGGCTTGATCGACTGATACCTCAGTAAAAAATAAGAGGTCATCTACGAAGAACAAATGTGATATTGTTGGGCCATTCCTCCTAAGCACAACAGGTTTCTATAGCTTTCTCGATGTAGCCTTCTGAATCAAGTGTGCTAGACTTTCAATGCATAACACAAAAGATAGGGGTTAAAGGACCCCCTGCCTAGAGAAGACATAAGTTGGACAAAGTGGATCATCGTCCTCCCTACTTCCGACCTCATCTGGTACGTCCCCCTCTTCCTCTTCTCTTATTTGAGAAGCTACCCAGTCCTCCTCCTCACTGTCATCTCCATTATTGTCTCAATTCAAGCATACGACTTTGTCCAGGTAAGATACCAGCCTTTTGCCCTTCCTTGCACACTTTCCTTTGGCACTTAAATGCTCAGCGTGCGCCTCTACATTAGCTTCCCTGACCACAACGGACCCTTGTCCTTAATTTTATCATCCATTTTGGCATCCACAAGGTCATAAGTGCCCTTAGGTTTCTTCAAACTTCTGGCCCTAGCATCTTCCTCTTCTCCTCGAGCGCTTTTCTCTAGAGCTCTCCCTAATTTTTCTCTCTCCATTATTTTTCTCTTTTGAACAGCCTCGATATTTGGCTTCCATCAGCAGAAGCTTTTAATCAAATAGGAAAAAGTAAAAGGAAAAAAAATATAGAACTTTAAAAAGCACTGAACAAAAAATGATTAACAATCAAAGTCATTCTATCCTATTTATTTTAATTTGTTTACATTCAAGGGTCCAAAGTTGACCACTCAGGATTGCTGACACATGTTTTACTTCTTTTTAACAAATATTTCCACGATATATTTGATTTTTTTCAAACGACAAGTCCAAAATTTCCTAAAAGAATTCAGTGTTCATTCAAATTCTCAATTCAAACAACGAACTCTCATCAATTATGAAGCCATATTCTTTCAAAGATTCAATATTTATGCAGATTCAAAAGTTTAAATAACATACCTTGTTAAAGTGTGAATCATAGATTTCTAAAAGATTCATTCTTTATGTAATTTCCAAAAGTTTAAACAATAAATCCTAATGATTCAATACGATCGAGGCTCTTATACCAATTGTTGGGATTCTCCAAATATCCTATGTTGAAAACCATCACAGCAAACCCCTCGGATATATCATATTGGATCGACGAGGAATCCAAAAGGAATTAAAGAACACCTGATTCCATCGCAATGATTGCGGCTTTTGGATATCTTTTAATTTTGAGATTGATAGTCTTTCTCAGTCAAATCACCAAAGTGCCAAATCCTTGTGCCGAAGTAATCTCTTGATGAAAAGAAGAAAACTCTTTGATTGATTTGACATATTGGAACCATAACCCTTTTCTTGATTCCTTATTATTGGACCTACCAGCTCCCATTATACGATATTGGGCCAATGTGGGTGGACATTTAACTCATACTTATTTTGAAACCTAATTGGATTCTTGAATATATCACTTAATTTATCCAATAATTAAATAGTATGATAGAATTGATAATTAAATATTTAACTCATAATAATATAGAAAATAAAATTTTTTAGCAACATATAATTGATAATTCAATTATGTAACTTCAACCAGTTTCTAGAGTTTTCGAAATAGGCAAGGCTAGTCCGAATAACTTCGAAGAAATGTGTGAATTAGATTATCAAATGTAAACTTAAATATTTATTCGACCTGGCATAATATGGTTGGATTTAGTCCATATAGAGGTGAGTCGGCTTATTAGTTTAAAATGTAATATCTATATATATAGGGTTTGTTTTTTCTAATGTTACTTTAGATAACTTTATCTAATGTTCATCAAAACGACGTCGTTTTGGGACGGATATCATGGTATTTTTGTAATTTTAATTTATTTCAGGGTTATAATAGTCTTTATCACTCTAATTTTTTAATTTTTCAACTCCAAAACGACGTCGTTTCGATGAACATTTGATAAAGTTATCTAAAGTAACATCGGAAACTTTTTTCCCATATATATATTACAAGGTATCAGTATATCACCTAACAACATATTATTTATTTATTTTTTAAAATTGAGGGTTAATTAACAAATAGACTAAATCTTTAATTAATTTCTCATTGATCTAAAGATAATTTGCCAAAAATTTCTAATTATCATCAATTTAAATATTATAAAGATTACTTTTATTGTATTTTTTTAAAAAAATTGTGGTTCAATAGACTAGCTTTCGTAACCTATAAGAAAAGTGTTATTTATATGATATATTTTTAAAAAAAATAGTCATAAAATGAAATTCATTTTAGATGGTTTTTTGCTGCTTATATTTAGTAACAAAATAAGATTTATTCAGCACAAACAAATCGGCCTTGCAATTGAATCGCCCCCATGTAAAGGAAAATTTTGAAAATGAAATGTAGCATAAAAGTCATTGGCAACTATTATTATTTATAGATTTAATATTTCTTATATTTTAATAGATAAAATTATTTTAATAGATAAAATTATTTTAATACATAAAATTGTGTGAGGTTGATATTTTATTTTTCTCTTTCTTTTACTCACATGGCCCCACATGGACTTAACACATTATAATATGAGAAACATTATATCCATTATTTATAACATATTATTCAATGCAAATATAAAATTAGTCGCCAGGGCAAAACAGAAAATGACAAAATTTATAAAAATTAATAGATAAAATAAGAGAAAAAATATTTCTACAGTTATTTAAAAGTTTGTATCTATCACAGGCAATGTACTCTCTGAAGTAAATAGACAAATGTTTTAAACGAATTCTATTGCAGACTTATTTCTTTTTTTGTGGAACCCATTGTTTTATTTGTGAAAGCGATAGACAAACTTTTTTTACAGAAACTACAAAAAGTTAAACCCTAAAATAAATACTATTGTAAAGCGATCATTTAGCTGGCTAAAAACTTAACATGGAAGTCTTCGAGTCTTGCTTTACAACTAAACCAATGCTTTCCCGTAAGGTTACACCAAAATCCTATCTGTATATACTAAGATATGTCAATTGCAAACTCCCGTCTATTAAAGTTGTGGAGGAAAAAAAAAAAAAAAACACGGCATTCTTTTTCTTTATATAATAGTAGCCTTTACCCTTCAAGTACATGCATGTTTTGCCTTTTCTCCTTTTATCAGCACCATGTAAGAAATCTTTTATATATGTGTAATAAGTATACATTATTTAATAATTAAATAAAGGGTTAAATGATATACTTTTGAAAAGGAACTATTGTTTTTTAAAGGAGGAATTAATTTTGAATTATAAATATACAAGAAAATAAACTTCACCTTTGTTTTTTCATCAATCATGAAACGTTGGAGATTTTTCCGGTATTAAATTTTTCTACGGTCGGAGATAACTTTATTTCCTTCGATTCAAAATGAGATCGTTTTAAGATTTGAAAAAAAAAATGTAAAGTATTTTAGTAAAAGGGAGATGTTTCCCTTTTGTTACCGCAAAGAAAAACATCCGTCCAGCTGACACATTAAAAGTTACGCTTTATTTTATTTTGTTCTTTGATTTTTTATATTGGTGGAGCCCATCAATTCATGTGTCCGGAGGAAACTTAGACTTTTTCCTGTAATATAACGAACTTATTACCCTTAGTAAAATTCATATAAAAGAGGAATGTGAAATTTTTAGAATACATTGCATTTTTGTCCTCAACCGCAAAATGATATTATTTAGAGTTATTGGAAATAATTTTATCTTCTTTAAAGTTGTAGAAAATAATTTTATCCCTTGTAAATTGCAGAAAAAACATTTTATCCTTTTTTTTTTGGAAAAAATATTTCCGCAGTTAAAGCAGATAAGTTATCTGCATTATTTCCAAAATGACGTCGTTTTGGTATTGAAATATCAAAAAATTAATAAATTAAAATTACAAAAACACCATAATTTCCGTCTCAAAACGACGTCGTATTGACTTACTGCAAAAAAAAGCGAACCTTTTTTTTTTATAGAGAATTGAGCATAATAAATATAAAAGGGTGTTCTGGACCGACTTTATAAGCTCTAAACTCTAGCCTGAGCATTACAATCCGTTATAAATATCGACCTGCTTGTGTACCCTCAAAGTGAGATAAATATTCTATCATTACACTAGATCCATATCCTATGTACACATACAAATCAGGGCGTGTTATCTTATATAATGGGGTTTACAAGGGCAAAAACGATTAGGTTCAAGTATAACTCACACCAGGAGGTGTCCACCCCTATAAATACCTCTGTTCTATTAAAGAGACACATTTTCACAAATCACTTATAGCCCTTTTAGAGTCATTCTTCCCTCACGCACGCACCCGCACGCCTCCCTCTAATTTCTAGTGTTTGCCTGAGACCTACACATTGTGATATCCCTGTCCCAATTTGTCCTTACTGACTTACTCGAATAATTGTCGGTCAACGGTCAACAAGAAAAATATTGATATATAGTTTGAGAATAGGAAAAAATGATAAATTGATTTAAAATTGAGGATAAAAGGGTCAATTAACCCACCATTGCTTATTATCAATCTTAATTCCCTACATGAATAGATTAGTGAAGTGAGTATAAGAGGCTTATCAATTTTACAAGGCTCGTTTTTTTAAATTAATTAATCATTCATTATTAAATTAATGATAAGGAGTTTAAACAAAATAAAGAGTAGTAGTAGATAACTAATTTGATTGGAGTAAAAGAATGGTAATTAAAAAAATTAAAAAATTAAATAAGAGTGACAATATAAAAAAATAGTAAGAAATTTTGATGTAACATCATAAAGAAAAATGTAGAGAGAAAAATAATCTCATACAGACTCATTAATTTTTAGTTTTTTTTTAAAGAAATAATGAGACCGTAAAAAACATATACGTGTTTTCAGGAAACAAACCTTTTATCCTAGAGAAAAATAAGCCCCGAGAAAAATAGTTTAGAGAGAGAGAGAGAGAAAGAGTAAATGTTACAACGTGACAGACTACCTGATTGTTGATTAGACGGATATATTCCCGAAATTCTTTTATCAGTTTAAGGGGGCGTTTGGTACCGGAGAAATTTTTATTTGTCCGGGAATATCAATTTTTAAAAATATGATTTTTACATTCAGTTTACCATAATATCCAGAAATTTAAAATTTAGAAAAATTCAATTTCCCGGGAATCCGACCAAATGCCGTGTACCAAACGCCCAACCTGTCAAACCGTGGCTTGTTTTCTGAAACAAATTTCATGTACTGCCCCTGCTTTATCAGTTTATGAGGATCATAGGACAAGCGGGAAAAGAAAAGAAAAGAAAAAGAACTCGTTCAAAAAGGCATCGAGCACTGACTGGCAAAAGAAGAAAAAAGCAGAAGCCGCATCAAATGCTATTGATAGGTGTCCACTACAAAAACTTATTTCTTATTAAATTTAAAAAAACAAAACAAAAATTGAATGACTCGTATTCAAATACGTATTTCATGTTTTTCTCTCTCTCTTTTTACAAGATCCCTTCTTTTCATGAAAGCCTTAACTTTTTTCTTTCCTTTCCCTTTTAAATAATAAATTATTTATTAATGTCTTAAATCCTTTGATTCTCTGCTTTTAAAGCATTCCCATTAGTTTCAGAGTACCCTTCCTCCCTCTTCTCTTTCTCCAGAACAGACTCTGCTTCTTCGGTCTCTGAAGTTCAAATGGCCGCAACAGAATTAAAAGCGGAAGCTAAAGAAGTGGAAGAACATTTAGAACCTCTCATATGCAAGGTAAAGCATTGTTCCACCGTTTACACTCATTTATTTGTTTTAACAACTCTTGAGTACCCTCCAACAGGTTCTGAACTTCTCACGCTTATGTCTCCCAGACCATTCCGTTGAAAGTCTCCATTCACTGCGAGGGCTGCAAAAGGAAAGTAAAGAAAATTCTACAGAGCATAGACGGTAAAAATCTTCAAAATCAAATCCCCTTTTTTTTGTATTCAGTTTCATATGTATTTAAAATCCTCATTATTTTCTTATACCATACACGTTACAATTATTCTTATAAAATTTTATGAACTATTCAATAGGTTTTATATTTGTTTTCATTTGCATAAAACTCACGAGTATCATAGTTCTCCAGATCAGCTCAAACCAATTTCATGAAGGGTTCTTGATCTTGTGATTAACACTGTAATTAAACTCCTCTTAATCCAGGTGTTTATAACATAAACATTGATTTGAAGCAACAAAAAGTAGTGGTAACGGGGAACGTTGACGGCAATACTTTGATTAAGAAATTAACTAAGTCAGGGAAGCATGCAGAGTTATGGCCTGAAAAAGCAGATTCGAAAAAGAAAAAGCAGGTAAAATCAGAGAACAACGAGAAACAGAACGACCCAGCTGAGAGCAAGGAAGAAACAAACCAAAGCGGTGAAAACGATAAAGAAACTGTTAAAGTTGTCGGTCAAGATACATCCAAAAACGTCGAAGGTGGCAATAACGCCGTTAAAAACAGCGACGGATGTGGCGAGATTAACGTTAACAAAACCGGTGAAGGATGTTCAACGGGTAAAACCGGTACGGTACACTTTCAAGAACCAAATCAAGAGGTGAGGCAAACCGTAATGTTACCTGCCGGTAACCAGCCACCGGTGACGGAGAAAAAAGTCAGCATCGCAGTGCAAGTTCCTAACGAAAATGAAGCATTAGGGAATGAGAAAGGCGGCGGCGGCGGCGACGGCGGAGGAGGAGGTGGTGTTAGTGGAGGAAAAAAGAAGAAAAAGAAGAAAGGGAATAACAATAATAACGGCAACGAGGGTGCTACCGTTACTATTGCACACTCTGGTGCCCCTGGTCCCTCTGGTTCGGCTAACCAGGCACAAGGTCAAGGTCAAGGTCAAGGTCATGGTCTAGGACATCCAGGTTCAGTTCCAATTTCAAACCCAGCCAATGAGAGTCCTCCACGTCATCACATGTACCCACCGCATTACTATCCACCTCACCCTCCTCCTGTTTATAACGTGAGCTATCACACGGCATATCCAAGCAACTACGGTGCAGCGTATTATGCCTCACCACAACCGTATTCATACGCCCATGTGGTGCGTCCAGGTACCGAAGTAGAGCCTCCACCGTATATGTACGAATCGGAATCGTATACATCGCAGCCCTCTGACTCATTCGTGTTCTTTAGCGATGAAAATCCTAATGCATGCTCGGTCATGTGAATGTAAGACATGTTGCGCGCAATCATTCCATTCTAGTGCTTTTTTATACAATTTGTATGAGCATGGCCTGCATGGGGTAATTTTGTAATACTAGTAGACATAGGAGAATCATTAAAGGCTTAGGTTTTATAAAAAAAAAAAAAAAAAAAAAAGGTTGTGTAGAATAATAAATGGTGTCTGGTTTTTTTTTGTTCAGTGGTTGTTTTTCTTCTTATTGCTTTGTATCATAGTAGGATAATATGCTAGATTAGAAAATTATTGGGCTTCAGATGCTACCCCACATTCTCCATATCACTTTGCGGTTGTGGCTTTAACAAATATGGAGGGGCCATATGCATATGCTTCTTAGGCGTGAAGCAGTAGAAGTTTATTGGTTATAGGGGTCTGACGTGTGCCAAATGGAACAAATACTGAGATACGTGTTAAAAAATAAAAGGTTCAAAAAGGTGAAATGATAAGATTCAACCATATACACAGAAAAAATATATATTTAATTTAATTTTTAAACGTTTAAGTACGGCATAAAAAATAAGAGACATCATAGAATTATTAATTTTTGTTAAATTGGTAATAAAAATTTTAATCATTCCTTTCTGAGGTTTAATCATTCCTCCTCGTTGGTTGTATGGAGTTGGATGGCCATTAAAATCAACCTCCATAATAAGCTAAGTGTGCATTTGGATGAGTCTTTTTTCTTAGAGAAGTTTTTTTTTTTTTTTTTTAAAGTTACTTTAAAGAATTTATGTGTTTGGATAGCAATTTTTTTTTAAAAAGCAGAATTTAAAAAAAAAAAAGCTAAAATAATGTTTTGTTTTAGAAATCAAGATTCCTTACTAATAAAAAAAATGAAAGTTAAAAGTTTAATATTTTTTTAAAAATTTAATTTTACCCTAATCGCACTCCAACCACTTTACTCCATTGCCACCACATATCCAATAATTTTATATGTAAAAAGTACTTATTAATTTTAATATTTAAATAACTTTTTTATTTAAAAATACTTTTTATGTGATTCATCTAAACATAAAATAATTTTAACTTTTAAAAAAATTTATTCTAAAAAAAACGAGTCATAAAAAGTCTTTTTTTTTTAAATGAGGCCTAAATGTTTTGTTAGGAGAAATTCACATTTTTTTTTTTGTAAATAAAAAGGGACTAAGCCTCGGAAACAGAAAGAAATTACAAATCAGAAATTAACAAGCTAGACATATTTCTAGCATCAGCAACTATTAGTTTCATCAACTGAGGAAGAAGATCTTTAAAAATCTTGAAATGGAGATTATTAGTCTGCCCAGCTTTAGCTATCCAATGAGCACATTTGTTGTTTTCTCTCTTGGTATGAACAAGATGAATAGTCCAATCTGCTTTTAACCATAATCTCAATCTGCTAGTGACTTAAGAGTCCCTAGGATCTTCATGCTGCTCCTTTAATATCTGGATGACTTGGCGAGAATCACATTCTAGCTCTATTCTTTTTAATCATGTACCCCAAAGCAGTTCCAAACCTTTCAGTAATCCCATAATTCTGCATCAAGAGGATTACAGGAACCTAAATTACAATAGAAGCTTCCCAAAAAGGATCCATTGTGATCTCTTAATATACCACCACAACTAGCTTTTTTCATGCCACTAGAAGAAGCTCCATCACAATTCAACTTAATCCACCCTTGCTTGGGGGCTGTCCAAACGTTATCGTTGGAATCACCACGGCGCTGATAAATCCGGGCTTGCAGAATCTGTTGGACAAACATCCAAATTGAAGCCTGCGATTGCTCATCATGACAGAAATGATCTTCATGGATCTCCACATTTCTCCACTTCCACAAAAACCAACAAGTAGTAAAGAAAATATCCCTCCAGTCCTTCACTTTATTGGAGGACCACATGTTATCGATATTTAAAGTCAATCAATCTTGCAAATTCGAATTCATAAAGGAATTAGGTATCGAACCTGTAAACCAAGATTGCCAAATTTTCCTAGCATGTCTACAATCACGAAGAACATGAATAATAGTTTCCTCATGATTTGGACAACTGGGACAGACATTTGACGCTCCACTTACTGGTTCTGCTGCGCACTGAAAGTTTAGCAAGCAAAGTCATCCACATAAACACTTTCACCCGTTCTGGTCCATTCCATGACCAAACTTTTTTCCATAAGCTAGTGTGAACATCTGCTGGGAAGTTCATAAGATTACAGTAAGCGACCTTAACCAAAGAAGTTGAGTGATGATTATTGATCCAAACTAATCTATCATCCCCATTCCTTGGAATAAGCCTGAGATGATTTGTTACTGCATCAGCCAAATCTGACTCTAGAAATTGATGAACAGCTTCAAGACGGAAACCATCATCCACCATGTAATCTGCAATTGAATTCTGACTCTCCTCCCACGGCACCTGATTGCTCGACAACTGCTGCAAATTTTCCTCCCATCCCAACCAGTTATCAGTCCAAAGCTTTACTTCAGAACCATCTGCTATTTTGTTAGAATTGAATATCCAGACAGATGCAAGAGACAACCAGACTTGTGTATCTACAAAAAAAAATTTCTTTTCTATTCTTGCTTTCTTGCTCTTTCTCTTTTTCTCTTGATCTCTTGATCTACATTTCATACAAACTATCAAAGGCTATTTATAAGCTATAAAACTGACCAACATAACTCCACACATAACACCCTAATTACTTTATAACTGACATAACTGACTCATTAATATTCTAACTGACACAAGAAACTAAATAACCAAAACTGCTAAAAACGGACATTTAAAATTTATCCCAACAAAACTCCCCCATAAATTTTAAATTCTTCTTTCTGTCTTCGCGTTGCTTCTGCTTTTCTTCAACTTTCTGATCGCGCCTGTTTTCTTCAATCTTGATCACTGACAAAAAACATCTAACACCTTCCAACTTAATTACCTCAAAAAAAATATCTCCCCTGCAATTATTTTTCTGAACATATTTTATTTTATCCGGTGGCTTCTTCAATTTGATATTTTCAGTTTCATTAGCAGGACTTTCCTTGTTTCCGTTCGCTGTATCTTCTTCACCTGCAAGTTTCTCGTCACCCAAATTCTTCTCAGTTTCATTCGCCACTTCATCAGTTGTGATCACAATTTTATTTGCTCGTCCAATCCGAATTTCTGCATCATTGGTATTGTCAACAAAACCTATTTTTCTCTTCAAGACCACATCCTTTTCTTCAAATGCACCTTCCATTTTTTCGCTCTCAGTTTCTTCATTGCCGGGTTCTTCTTCATCGAGAACAGCTTCCACGCGCCTCATCAATGGAATCTCACACAACTGTCCTCCAAGGAAATGGTCTCTTTTCGGTGGTGTCGACATCTTCCACTTCCACCACGAATTCAATGCAGTCTCCGACTTCTGACTTCCAACCCGAACCGCGCCTATGTCGATCTCCGACATCAACCTCATCACGCTGAGGTCGAGCTCTTCTCCAAAACATGAACTCGGTGATTTAGCCAAGATCTCACCCAACCCGGTTATCAACACGGAACTCGGATTCACGGTCTCCTCCATGCCGGTCTCCATCAAGCACCTCGGCTTCTCAATCTCCTTTCCGATTTTTGACTCTGTCTCTAGACACTCAGGTTCCACGAAGTCTTCTACCTCGACAATGGACTCGTCATTCCCGTCCTTCTCTTCTTCGATCTCGGCTCCTTCGTTCTCCTCATCTTCTATCTCAGCTCCTTCGTTCTCCTCCTCTTCTATCTCGGCTCCTTCGGCCGTAGTCATCTCCATCGTCTTCTTCTCCGAGTCGTCTCTTACGCGTTCTGACACGTCAATCTCCTCCGCGGATGCGTTGCCGTTGGCAACCTCAGATTCCGCCATCTCAGTCTCTTCTTCATCCGCATCATTTTCCTCATCTTCATCATCATCATTGAAGATTTCATCTTCTTCATTAATCAGATCAAAACGTCCAGGCAAGTATTTTGTTACGAAGGCCATGAAAATCCTTCCACATATTATTAAAGTCGCGGCAGTTCCATGTACGGAACCATTTGATTGCGCTTCCTCTGAGTCTTCTCATGGCTACCTGCCATTTGTTCTCCGTCCAGATTTTTTCTTTCCGAAAATGTTCCTTCAAACATAGAAGCCAATCTAATGCTTCATTCTTATCTCCATGGAAGAGTGGCACTTTCATCTCGTTCTTTTCCTCCATAGCCCAAGCTCTGATACCAATTTGTTAGAATTGAATATCCAGACAGATGCAAGAGACAACCAGACTTGTGTATCTACAAAAAAAAAATTTCTTTTCTATTCTTGCTTTCTTGTTTCTTGCTCTTTCTCTTTTTCTCTTGATCTACATTTCATACAAACTATCAAAGGCTATTTATAAGCTATAAAACTGACCAACATAACTCCACACATAACACCCTCATTACTTTATAACTGACATAACTGACTCATTAATATTCTAACTGACACAAGAAACTAAATAACCAAAACTGCTAAAAAACAGACATTTAAAATTTATCCCAACATATTTCCCATCTAAGACCAGCAAGGAAATTACTCCAACATTTAGCAAGATCTCGTCGAAGTTTAGAGTCATATGATTTTGCCTTTATACCTCTCCTTTAAGTCTTCACCTCTAGCATACTTGGCTACTAAAATGAAAACTGTCTTGGTTTGTTGTATCTCAAAGGCTCAAGTCTCTGATTCAAAATATCGTTAAAAATAACCATTACCTTATTGGAAAGGTTTCGTTTTGAAATGAATTAGTAGTTGTTTTGCATGATGAATTTTTCCTTCCTTTGCTTCTGATCTGCCAGTTAGCAGTTTTCAGCTGCCCCTGAGCGAAGACTTTCTTGGTGTGTGAACACACATCTACATATTCTTTTAAAAGTTATTTTTGTATAATTGCTTCATTAACTTTCTATGTTCTCGTCTTGTTAAGAGGCAGCTAGACTCCACAGTTCACGTTGAAATTAAAAGCAACTCTTTCTTTAAAGGAAAAAAAAACTTGTTTTCATTGGGAGAGAATATCTTTAGTACTATGATCGCTGTATCTTTCACTCATATTATGACATTGTCTTATTTTATATTAAATTATTCTCTCTTCTAATTTTAAAATAAAATATTTATGAGAAAAATATTTCTGCAATTACTGCGGATAAGTTATCTGTATTTATTTTTAAAATGACA